TCCCCCCACTTCTACCATCACCTCACAAGCACCTATTCCCACAGGGGTATCTCAAAAGCCACAATTGAGAACCTGGTGCCCTCTGGCTGACAGCACTCCTTCCAGCCCTCAGGAGCTTCCACTCTCATTACAGGTCTTTCCAACCACAGCCAAAGCAGCTGCTCTAGTTCATTTATATTTGCCTCACCACTGGAAAGTGCACCAAGCTGAAGCACAGTCAGACGAGATGCATCCAATACCAGAGCCCATCTTCCAAATACTTTCTGCTCATCTTGCCTTCACACTCCTGATCTGGCTGCCTCTCTGTTAGCCAGATGCACCATGCCACCCTTTCTAGCTTCCACCATGCTTGTACACAGCCACAATTTGACTGTGGAGGAAAAAGCTCTCAGATTCTTTAGGGATTTTCATGAGAAATAGATTCCCTTCCCCCACTGCAGTAGCAAAGCAGCCCCAGCAAAAGCCACACGGAAAGCCACAGGAGTTGTGAAAGACTCTTCATCTGAGTGCTGTGCAAGCACTCTGCCTTCATGCTATCACTCTCCTCATCGGCTCCAAAATAAGGAGTGCAAGCTCTGATCCTAACACTGAAGCACAGATTCACGCCAACAGCTTAAACTAGCCAGCTCAAAACAATTTACAGTCAGCAGTAAGTTATTATTGGAAAGCAGCATTACAAAAAGGCAGCACTTTATTCAGACCAAGTCTGAAAGTTCTAAATCAAATCCCATGCAGACTAGTATGAATGCATAAGGCAGTTATTCCCTCCATCAACACAGTGTAATAATTTCTGCAGTGATGGCATTGTGACACTTGCAGGTTTTTCCATGGCTATCACAAACCACAGTTTCTGAACACATTCCCACTTCGTCTGAGTGCCACCATACCCAGACTGCTGTGTAAGGCCTCTGGTACATTTAATTAGGCACCAACCATCACACAAGAAATTCATTTAAACATTAGAAGTGGATAGTTTAAGAGAAATAGAAGGCATATGTGGGACATATACATAAACCAGTACAATCTGAGAAATGTTATTTTCATGTTATGAAGAAGTAACTCAGCCTGAAGTGACCATCTGAGTATATGCTTGAGAGTCATCTGAAGCCCAGATACTCCTTATTGGCAGATGCATCTAACCTCGGAAGGTTTCAAGTCCCAGTGTCCTACACCATTAGCTGTAACAAAACTCAAGAAGAATTACTGTCACTGAAAAGCATCTCATAGCACTGTATAATCAATGAATATATGGATGTTACAATTAAGAAATATACAAGAAAGTTGGGCTAAACAGGTTATCATGCTGAAGAAGAACAGATGGAAAGCTTACCCTTGAGAAAACTCTAAGAGGAGCGATCTCCAAAAAGAGATCCTTCCCCAGGCAGTCAGCTCTTAAATGGGGAGCCAGGCTCCACCCCTTCTGATAGCACAGGTGAATTGCCTTCACCCGTGCTCCCAGGGCTGACTCATTGCTCACCTCAGGTGGTCAATCAGAGGTTCAGGCTGTGATTCAGCAGTTCCCCTACAAGCACAAATACCATCTTTTGATGTTGTTCCAGGCAAGGTTCAGCAAACATTGTGAATTCTTGCACAGACTTTACACAAGGCTGGGGCAACGGCCACCCGCCCCCCTACCCTGAAGCAGAGGGTGTTTATTCTGAAGCACTGCCAGGCAGGCTGGCCTCACCAGCACCAAAGGATAACAGCTCAGTGAGGCTGCAGTGCTGACATGACAGTTGTAGCAGCGCCCTTGGTGCTAACTCAGAACACCCACAGCTTTACAGTCACACCTTCAGGAAATCATGCTCACTGTCCGCTCAGCCATGCACAGCACAATCAGATAACAATGCTTGCCGCCATGCCAGCCAGCTTACAGGAACACAGCTCATGGAAACATCAGGTTTAAGTTACCTATCACTTAATAAAATAATAATAATAATTTAAAAAACCCCCCACAACAGCAGAACAAAACTAAACAGGCCTTAAGCCAATGAACATCAAAATAAATTGACGAATTGCTGTAAAACTATACCAGTTTACACAGACCAAAATCTGTCTCCAGTTCTGAGCTGGTATATACTGGTATTCACACATGGGTGAAGCTTTTTTTTTTTTTTTTTTTCAGCTCTCACCTCAGCAGTTGGATGATTAGATCCACCAGTAATTTAAGGGCTGGATACAGTACCCAGCCATGGGCATCTTTTCAGTCAGCAAGCCACCAGAGAGGGTGCTGAAAGGCCTATTAGAAGGCCAATCACTATCCTTTTCTTGAATGACCACATGATAATCAGTAACCATTCCACAATGCATTGAAGGAGCCTTTTGTCAGAAGGAAAAGGACTAGAAGTCACAAATTATTGCAGATTCATTTGTAATTCATGCCTTTGGGAGAAACTGTATAGCTTCAGTTAAGAGCAAACCAAGAAAAGAATAAGCTTTGAAAATGTTATTAAACCCTTTCCTAATGTGAGTATACCAAGTGTATTTTTAGATTAATCTCTCTGTATTCCCAAAGGATGGACAGACATTCTATATTAGTTGTTTTACGAGATGAGTTGAAAATACATACAGAACTTTGACTTTATTCCAAAACCCTATTTAGGGTCTGCAGCAGTGTTTGCCTCATCTAAATGAGAAAATCATTGGAAGCATTTTAAGTACAAAGTCTAAGAAAAGTATAATTGTTCCAGGATAACAACAAAGCATTGTGACTGCTGTTTAACAATCACTTGGTAATAGAGCAAATTTCCTATGGGGACCTCCTCATTAAAAAAGTTTTTTTCTAACTGAGAAACTGGGATTTGACTCTTAACGAATTTTGAAGTCTATTTGTGAAGTCCATCACAAAAACAGAGGTCAGTTATGTCTGATGACTTCTCATGAGTAGGGAAACATTCTGTTCTCCTTCCACCCCAATCATACTTCAGTTCTGAGGCCTCACATGCAAATGCACACACACTCCAGATGGAATTCACACATATGATTTCATTATAGAGTTTCAAAACAGTCTCATACAGACAAACTTTCGGCAGGAAAGACAGTCGAGGCTCATAAGCGAAAACAGATTTCTTCTAATCCATATATGCAGAACTAGGGGAATTACCACACTTCCACTCAGAACCAAAAGTCCCAGCTGTTAGACCTGCCCTTTTCACCCATCTGTTCCACCCACGTGCTGTGAAACGAAATGGTCAGAAATAATGGTTTTCACTCCACAGCATCCCAGATTTCCCATTCCTAATGCTCTCACAACCCCTCCTGAAACTAAGCAATATGTTTTGTGCACACTGCTGGTGAAGACTGCAGGTGTGAGCTGGATGCAGCCTTCCCTATCACCCTATCAACTCACACCAAGAGAGGAGCCAGGCTTTGCTGCGATACCATATGGCACCAGCAGAGCCAAAGGCTCGGTTGTGAGAATCACACACAAACATGCCAAATAGAATAATTCATTCAGAAGGAACCTCCCAAGATCATCTAGTCCAACTGTGAAGTGCATATACACCGGAAACAGAAGTCCTGGCATGCCAAATATACCTGCAAGTAAAGTACATCACCATTTATCATCCCCAGGACAGCAAATGCAGAGACAGAACAATCCTGCACTGTCCTCCAGAAGCTCAAAGTGCTCGGAAACAAGCAGGTGGGAACTCCGCAGCCCCCTGCTAATCTCAATGAAGTTCAGGGTCAAATTCTTTTATATAATAACTCTTCCAAATAACTATTAGCGGGAGAAAGGCGGCAGACCTTCCTACCAGAAGTCTAGACTAAAACAAAGCCACTTTGCTATTGAAGTTAACCATTTCACATCTTTTGTACAGGAAGGAGAAAACTTAAGGAGAAAATTAGTGAAGCACCTGAGAAAGGCAGAAAGGGCGTGGAGAAGCACAAGGATGGGGACAGAACACAAAACCAGGGAGGATGGAGGAGACAACAGCAATAGCTGTGGGAAAGCATGTTTCTCCAGATCAGTACTGACAACAAATCCTTAACGTTATTTACAAGTTAATTACAATCAACAACTAGTTGTTTTTCTTCCCTTGATCTCTGTGCAAAGCCTCACTGCCTTCTGCTCCTAATAGTTACACACTTTCCTTTTGAAACTGTCCAGTTCACAGTGAGAAGTTTGGCCTTTCCTCTGGATGCGCAGAGCAACCACTTCTGACTGTTTTTAGGCAATACCTGAGCATTTCTTTCTATCCTGGATGACTAACATTGTTTAACAGTGTTCAAAGACCTCTAAGGCCTGGGCACTGAAAACACACAGTTAAATGCAGGGCCTAGAATGACAACAGAAATAATGCATGGGTGAAATGGAACACAAATGCAATGATGTGGGGGAATTAATAGCTGTAACTACTGACAAGGCTTGGCTTCGTTCTTTAAGCTCTCTTGTAGCTTGAGGAGTTAACATGTGAAACTCAGTTCAAGACATTGTAATCTCATTCCCTCTTAAAAACTGACCCAAACCATAGGATTCATTCCCAGCCACAGATTTCCTTAAATTTGGAAAACAACATGTCAGTGATTTGCCACAGCTTTGTTACTATTTCTTTGAGAAAGGCCAGGAAAGAAAAACTGATTTAGATTGAGAAGCAAACGTTCTCCAACACAGACGGTACTGGGAGGCATTGCACTGAATGCTTAGGCTCATTACTAGATGTCAGACAACACAAAGACACTCATGCATACTCCTTCTCCAGGTCAATGAAGCTCAGAACAGCAGCCGTGCTCACAGCTGTGGAAGCAGACCCTTTGGCCAGGAGCAGTCCTGAAAACATTTTAAAGGGTTTTAATTTCCTTCATCTTAATCACAACGCTTTCCTAAGCAGTAAATTTTCCAGAGTAGTGACCTTGCCCTGTTATATATTTATACAGCACCTGGCACAGTACAATCGTTATCTCGACTGGCATCTCTTTACATTTAACAGAGCTTGCTGTTCTTCTAAAAGGCCAAATTTCTTCAGCTCCCAAACCACAATTTGTGGGAGAACACTCACCCTAGCAGCAGCGTTCAGCTCCAGCAGACTGAGATGAAGCCTCACAAAGCTCAACCTGTTCCAACCTGGAAACCATTCCATGTTTACACATTTTGACCACGTCCACAGAAACAATGGTGGCCGGGGCGCAGCGCCCTGCTCAGGGCAGCTGGAAGGCTCCATCCAGCTCGCAGCATTCAACAGGTCACTGCCCACAGGGCTCCTCTCATGGCCAGCTCAGATCCGCCCCTGGTTAGCCTTGACATTTGGCAAACAACATTCTTTTCCACTCTATTTATAAAGCTTTTAGTTTAGTCTCCTTGAGTAATCGCATTTTGAAGAAAAGGGAAAAAGATGCTCTATAATATATGCAGGGAATTCAAATCAGAAAGTTACCAGAAAAGAATTCCCACAAGAAAAACCACAGTTCCCTCCACGCACGGAAAGCTTTACGCATTTCCAAGCTAGAATCAACCAAACCGATCCGGGGAACGTGGCCTGCAATGAAACAGAAGGATTACCCGGGCACCTCTCAGCACTGCCAGGGAAAGCCGCCTGCTAGCGATTCACACCGCAGGGCGGTGGGGCAGAGGGTGGGGAAGAGGCGTACGCCGCTCGCTTGCAGCTCGGCACAGGCAGCGCCGCACCGCGCCAGAGGTAACACAGCCAGCCCTCCCGCTACCAGCGAGCCGCGCACCGCGTCGTGCGGGCACGGCAAGGGAGACAGCAGACGTTGATAAACAGCCCCTAGCACCTCAAGGCAGCGATCGCGGCGCAGACAAGTAAAACCCTTCAGCGTCTGTGCAGGGACAGCAGCGAGGGCGCAGCGACCTCCGTCCCTCCGTCGCCGTGTCAGCCCTCGCCGCGGTGCTGCCCGGCCCGCGCGGAAGCGCAAAGCAGCAGCGCTACAGGGCGAACGCGGCGCCGCCTCAGCGCGTTCGGCCGCCAGGCAGCCGGGGCTGCGGGCTGCGGCCGGCGGGAGCCGGCGCCGCGCTCCCGGGCGCGGTTAGTCATCGACGGCCGGGGCCGCCGCCGAACGGCCCGGAACGGCGCGGCTCCGCTCCGCAGACGCCCGCCGGGGCCGCGGGAGGGCGGGCGGCTGCGGGCAGAGCGGGGCCGGGCCGAGCCCCGCCGCGTCCCCCGAGTACCCGCCTCTCCGGCCCGGCGGCAAGAAACTCCGGGCGGGCGGGCGGGCCTCCTCGGCGCCGCTCCCGGGTCCCGCCGCGCCGCCCCGCGCAGGTGCCGAGCGGAGAGCGGGCCGCCGCCTTACCTCGCTGCGGCCGGGCCGGGCCGGGCCGTGTCGGAGAGCGGGAGGAAGGAAGGCTGCGGGCGGCGGCGGCGACCGCGGGACGCTGCGGTGGCGCGGCGGCTGGTCGGGATACGCCTCGCGCCCCTCCCCGCACGCGCGCGCCGCCCCGGGCCCGCCCCGGTAACGGCCGCCGCCCCCGGCAACGGCCGTGCCGCGCTCCCCGGCCCGCGCGCGCCCCTGTGGCACCGCACGTGCGCTCCAGGAACGGCGGGCAGCGCCGGCCCCACTGCCGACAGCTCGAGCGCTTCTCGCCGAGCGGAGCAGAGCGGAGCGCGCGACGTAAATCAGTGCCGGCGCGTGGCTCTTCCTGTCCGCGAGCGCTCCTGGACGGCGTCGGGACGTGAGAGCGCGCCTCGAGCCTTTCCGTTGTCGACGGTTTAAAACAGTGCCTCGATGCTCCGAAGAAAACGCGCGGTCTGCGTTGTCAGCACAAAGGTGAAGGAGCAAGACGTTACGATCCCCTCACGGCCAAACACTGGAACACGCAGGAGCTACAGGAAATCGCAGCAAATTTCCTGTAAACAACTGGATCTGGATTTCCTATCAGCATCGGTGTCCCGCACCGCCACTGGCAGTACCCGTAACCCACGCACACAGCAGATCTCGTTCGTGCAGGCGCTGAGCTGGGCGGTCCCAGCGTTTCTCCCCAGAGCCCTCACCTCACCTCCCTCTTGCTGCCCACGGCCAGCGGGCTCCCTGGACGGTAGCAAACGGCCGTCTGGTGCCTCCCAACACAGATGGGAGGCAGCGCCAGCCCTCGCTGCTTTCAGCCAGCTCCCCGGACCGCAGTGTGGAAATGCCGCAGGCTGGGATCTCCCTCCCGGCTCCGGGTGCCCGGCGGACCACCCTCAGCCCCTCCTGCCCTACTCGGCTGCAAAGGGTTCTCCCGCCTCCTTCAGAAAGCTGGGCGCAAAGCAGATGCTCAGCACTGAGGTGCAGCCAACAAGCTCAGAATTTACATTTCTTTGGGAATCACGTCTTCAAAAGTACTCAGATCCTTGGTAAACATTGGCTTGTTTTAAACAGCATCATTTTGAACTTCCAGGCTTGCATCTGCTCTCCAAGAGTGCTCCTGCTCACACTGCTGACACCTATCTACTCCCTAAGCTGCATTAATTTTGCCTGGGAGTTCTGGAAACGATTCTGAAGTTCAAGAGAGCAGAGCATTATGTTCATAAATCAAGGATGCTGCCGAACTTCCTGCACGGGAGAACAGATGTGAACCATGGGCCTGAGACTCATCCAAAGGAATGCAGTGGAATCACACAGGATGGAAGGCTCTGAGGGCTTTACAAATTGCATTTGGATGGGAGAGAGCAGGGAGAAAGAGAATGTGGGAAAAAGAAGAGTGAAAAAGGATCCTGCTGTTTAGCTCACGCATAAACTGTGTGTGCTCAGCCAAAGGTCACTCCTTTTATTTTCTCATTAATTTCAGTGATGGTGAATGGTATATGAAGAATGACCTAAAAATGAGAACTGCCAGGAGTAGCTCAAGTTTTTCTACGACAAAGCAAAGGAAGAAAAAGCTGTGTGGCAACTTCGTTCTGTATCTGTAGAGTCCTTAAAAAGTAGTGACTGAAAGTTAATTATTTTAGATGAACCATACGTTTATTTAGGAAAGTTAAATAAAAATTCAGTCATCTATTTTTCATGCATTTGCCAGCAAAGGTTTTATACCCTCCGTGCATTGAAATTACCCAATTCCTAATTTTCTTTTTGTAATCCAAGAAATAGTGTATTTGTTTCGAGGTTGAGCACTGAGGTACTAAACTCAAGTGAGGGAAAAAAAGAAAAAGGACAAAAGCTTTGGGAAGCCACAGGTGTCCCAAAGCTGGCAGAAGGAAATTGCCCCTATGGGCAACTTTGGGAAAACCATCAGGAAAGAGTGGAACTGGCACCTGATGATGCTGTATAATAAACGCATATTCAAATGCCCTGTGCTGGTTCCAGCAGCTCTGCACCAGACAAAACAGCCCCACTGTGTGCCAAACATGAGGCAGTTGGAGAAGGTTCTGCTGCCTCTACACAAACACATTTGAGGAGGAGGAGGAGACACGCAGGAGATGCAAGAGACACCGGGACAGGAGGGGTGAGAGCTGGAGAAGCACCGAGGGAAACAAACACCATGCACTGACCTTGGTCTCCCACACTGCCCGTTGCCTCATCAGAGGGACTGGGAGTCACTTGCTGTGGGGAACAGAGAGCAGGAAGGGCAGAGGAAAGGTGCCTGGAAGTGTGTCTACAAGGGAGCGTGTGTTTATTCAGTTCTAGAATCAGTAATTTAAAGTTTTTAATTGGGACTAAATTAAATCAGTTGAAATTCCCCTGGCACACAACCGTTCCTGGCTTGCAACAGGGAGAAACTGATTCAACACAGAAATTTGCAAACAAACTGGTGCAGTCACAGTGGTCTGGCAAAGGATCTAAGGGTAAAGATAGGGAAAACAGCAAATTACATTGCTTGTGTTGTAAGACAGTTGCTAATCTGGGGTATAAAAGAAACATGGCTCTTTTAAGCCGGGAGAAGGGCTGATAATAACATTCTATCCTGGCATTTGTTAACTGCAGTGAAAAACTGCAACGTAAGTGGAAAAAAAAAGTTCAAAGAGAGGCACCAGAAGAGATGAACAGAGATATATCTTCAGGAGATAGATGTTTACATGCTCGGCTTAGGAGAGCGCTGCCAAGCAGTGAAAAGGCAGAAGGTCCTTTCAAGGACCTGTGAGGATCATAGTGTGTTATGTGGAGTAACACCATGGAAAGAGAAAGAAGATTTATGATAGCTACAGAAAATTCTGACAGTCAATCAGAAAGGACCAAAAACTATAGAGGTTGCTTTTCTACATGGTATCAGCAGGTAATTATATTCAACATTCAGAAGGAAAAAAAGTATATATATATATATATATATATATATATATATATATATATAAGCTCCTGCATTTGGGTGTGTGAAAGGGAAAAAAAAAAAAAAAAGATCTTTTGGCTCTGAAATTTATGGGTCAAATTTAGAAAGGGTAATTCGCAAGCCATAGCTAGTGGCTATTCATTTACTCAGACAAAGCCTGAATTTGATTAAATGGTTATGAGCACACAGACTGTATGCTATGGAAACAAAAATCTGTTTTGCAGTGAGGTTATTTATATCACAGATAATTAAAACTGCTGCTCTGAGATCTCACATTTCTCTGAAAATGCAATGTCCTCAAACGAGAGCGACAGCCGAAGAACAATTTCTAAGGAAGTTTTTTCTTTTTAAGACTGGGAAACAGTCTGTTAAAATCACAGACACATGAAGGTGAAAAAAAGAACCCAACACAACCATTTTCTGCTTCCAGAAACAATGCCTCTGTATCTCTTGGTGTTGGGTGTTTCAGAGTGAGTGTACTTGAGTGGGGTTGTAAACACTTAAGAATGACTGAAGTTCAAAAACAAACAAAAAGCAGCCTTGAGCTCACTCTGGTATAAAATGGGAAAGAAATGAGGGAAGGCTTGGCAAAAATCAGCATAATAGTAGCCTTATTGTTGGATCTGAAAGCTTCATTTTCCAACAGTGTCCCTTTTCTGAGAAGCTGCAGAATCACTCTGAAAGTGCTTTCTATAGAGATGATAAATCTGTGGTGGAGATTTATGCACATTCAGATTAAGTCAGGAAATCAGTCATGAAAAGGATAATTAAATAGAGAAGGACAAAAACCTAGAAGAAAAATTACCAGAACCCCCCAAACAAACACAACTAACAATGCACTACGATGCACCAGGTCCTGGGATTCTGACTCTGACTTTGGCACCTATTGCTTGAGCAATGCACAGGGCGAGCAACCCCAGCTTGTTCCTGACTGCGGTTCCCAGGGCTCCAGAGAGAGGCACTCTGCACAGCAGCAATTCAGAGCTGGCACAGTGTGTGAACAAACCACGCTTTGGTCGTTCCTTACTATTTTGCACTAGCTCTTAACGCATCGTAAAGGTGAAATCCACAAGAACAGAAGGTGTCCCACAGCTGTATACAGAATTGTTTGACACCACAGTCTCATACTGTGTTCATATGCTAGATGAGAGCTATTGAACATTACAGTCTCCATTTTAGAGCAAACAGCTCAGTCTGCGCAGGCACAAATCACCGAGGTGCTGTGAGAGAGCTGGCTCTTCTGACACAGAGGTGTCAGAACACCTTCTCCTTTCAGTGTTACAAGATATGCAGCAGACTCAGGGTGTTAATGGTAAAGCAAACACGTTGACTGAAGAAAATTTAGTAAAAAAAAGCCCTTCTGTTTTGCATCACTGCAATTCCAAAATATGCAAACTCAGTACCGTGTCACAGCCCACTGAGCAAACCACTCTAGCTTTGAAGACATGGTATATAAATGCTGCAGTTCTGTGAAAACCTCTAATTTGTGTACCGTGACTTTTAAATTA